AAATGTGTCGTTAAACCCACCACCACCCGACACAGCCAATTATTAAGTTTCTTCAATTAAACGAAACGTGCCAGCCATTTCGTCACTTATCAGTGCAGCACACCGGTGTGTTGATGAGCAAAGCCACAACATTTACAATTCGAGTACGACGTTCCGCCAGCAATTACAACTGGCGTCATCAGACGATAGCCATATTTGTGGATAATATTGGTCGCGAAAGCCTTCGTGTTAAAACTTGCTAAATGTTATTGGCAAGAGCGCTCCGTCTACAATATGCGAACCATTTATTGGACGCAAGAAACGGATACGCATCGTCTCCACTTACAAAGGATATATGTCTTCATTATCGCCCTCATGGCTTTCTAGAACTGTGCTATTAACATAGACATCAGCAAGCGAACCGTAGCCTCATTTCGACCCTTCTGGGGGCAGGCAGGGAGGAGGAGGGGGGGAGGTCACATCAGCAAGCTCGTTAAACAATCTCTGCAGAGTGTGCAGGACACCGGCGTGGCACTGCGCAAAGACTGCGTCGTGTCGCATGCGCGACTGCAAAGCGACAACACAGCACTGACTCGCGTGGCGAAGTATGGTCAGAGCGTTTTCCCCAAAATGCCAATTCGACCTGGGAGACTCCTCAATCGCTTGGCACTGCGGTGCAGAAGTTAGCGCGATATTACAATGATAATCTACTCGGATTGAATATGTACATATGAAGAGCGCCTTCAACTCATGGCGCTTGACATTGCTTACAACTTGATGGAACGATGCGGTTTGACAGGCGGCGTGCTACAAAGGCATTGAGGAACGAGTGGCAACGCAAGAGGGGTACTTGGGGCTCACGAAAGGGTAGGGGAAGTACGGGAAGGAGTGGAGGGCCGAGGGGGGGGAGGAGAATGGGCACGTCCAACACGGAGCATGAGGGACGAGATCAGCGCATGTGCAGGTTGGCTGCGTACAGTGCGAAGGAAGTTCAACGTACGTTGTCAATTGTAATAATTAAGAATAACTCGTGGCGCTGATGGCCCCGATCAAAGGAGCATTGCGATTTGAGTTGAGCATCCGGCACGCGTCAGTAATCACGTTTACAAAACAACACCGACAACAACAACGACACCATCACTAGAGTCTTAATTGCGCATTCAAACATTGCTTAATTAAGCATTCACATTTGTTCTTAGGCCTGCATAGAGATGGCAATGCGTTCAGCGTTGAGTACGGACTATGTTCGATGGAGAACGTATGTGTGTATGTTCAACTTCTTTCGCGCCGTACGTAGCCAACCGTGATAATTCGAGGTGCGGGAGGATGGACAACAAACTAAACACAAAAAGCAGCTTCGAAAGAAATGAGTTTTCAATTATAGATTCAAAAGCGCGTCGCTCCCGGCGGTGTCCCAATAATCGGAAGGGGAGAGCGTTCCAGACGTCCGCAGAAGCGCATTTGAAAGCGCCACGCGATGCGGTTGACCGCATTTGTTCGACGGACAGCCGAAGCCGCTGCTGCGAAGGATGAGAGCGAGTTCGCGTCATGGGTTGTGCTCCATGACGACGTCGGCGAGGCGACTGCGGTCAATTTGTGGGAGGCACTTTGTGCGTACAATGACCGCGCCCTGACAACAATTTCGTCTTCGTTCGGCAAACCTGAAGCCAATGCAGCTCGGCGAGCACAGGACGGATCTTGGCAGTGCCCGTCACGGCACGTGTCGTGCTTGCTAACACGGGGGGTGGGGTGGTGGGTGCATACTGCAGTCTACACCCAGCGGCCTGAGTTCGATTCGGCCCCAGTCTGAGACCGGTCCTGCACCCCCCAAATCCGAACCCCTCGTCCACGACCCTTCAACAATCCGCACTGACCGGCGTGGTGAGGTATGGTTAAAGAGACCACCCCCCCCCCCCCCCCATGATAGACTTGTCGTGCGGGAGGCCTTCATCCAGCAGTGGATTGACAACAAGCTGTACGCAATAATAATTGTTCATTTGAACAAACAAAAAAATCTACAAACAACATTCTAAAAAACTAGATCAATTGGCTGTACAGGTAGGACACTCCTGAAACACCACTCCAAGAGACTCTACGGTGCTTTCCTGCGCTCGCGTAAAAATAAATGTTCCCGTCGTAAATGTGACGCAACGGCCCCCGTGGAGCGATGGATTCGGCTCAAGTGCATGTGCCATGAAGTGGATCCTTACATCGCGGGCTCGTCAGAGGTGCTGGCGGCTTGGGGAGGTCTTCTTCATCCAGCAGTGGATTGACCGTGGCTGTTGATGATGATGATGATGATCATGCAGCGGTTAGTTTGAAGTTTTATGTTTACATTTTAAGGAGATCCAGGAGCGAGTACAAGTAGGATACTTATACAGTCCTGTGTTAGTGTGCGACCACGAATCACTACCATCACCCCCTGCCTCTGGGTCGATAAAAAAATAATGAGTGGAGACGTCAACAGTGGTTGGGCCGATGGAGAGACTCGACCCCTGCCATGGGAATGTGGAATGGTCACCACTGGTTCATGAGCAGCGCCTCGATGGTAATCACTTGCTTGACTTACATTATCAGGGTACTTTTAAAACAAAAACACCTGTTAAATCAGAACTACAGAAATCAACGGATATTCTGTATATTTTAATTACTGAACTGCATCAAATAATCGTGAATATTTACATGGGGATGAGCGGTGGTGCAGTGCTTAGCACGCTGCGCTACAGAACTAGGAAGACTAAAAATCCGGGTTCGACTCTCGTCGCCAGCGGTGGCAATCAGTGGATTGACAACAAGCTGTACGCAATAATAATTGTTCATTTGAACAAACAAAAAAATCTACAAACAACATTCTAAAAAACTAGATCAATTGGCTGTACAGGTAGGACACTCCTGAAACACCACTCCAAGAGACTCTACGGTGCTTTCCTGCGCTCGCGTAAAAATAAATGTTCCCGTCGTAAATGTGACGCAACGGCCCCCGTGGAGCGATGGATTCGGCTCAAGTGCATGTGCCATGAAGTGGATCCTTACATCGCGGGCTCGTCAGAGGTGCTGGCGGCTTGGGGAGGTCTTCTTCATCCAGCAGTGGATTGACCGTGGCTGTTGATGATGATGATGATGATCATGCAGCGGTTAGTTTGAAGTTTTATGTTTACATTTTAAGGAGATCCAGGAGCGAGTACAAGTAGGATACTTATACAGTCCTGTGTTAGTGTGCGACCACGAATCACTACCATCACCCCCTGCCTCTGGGTCGATAAAAAAATAATGAGTGGAGACGTCAACAGTGGTTGGGCCGATGGAGAGACTCGACCCCTGCCATGGGAATGTGGAATGGTCACCACTGGTTCATGAGCAGCGCCTCGATGGTAATCACTTGCTTGACTTACATTATCAGGGTACTTTTAAAACAAAAACACCTGTTAAATCAGAACTACAGAAATCAACGGATATTCTGTATATTTTAATTACTGAACTGCATCAAATAATCGTGAATATTTACATGGGGATGAGCGGTGGTGCAGTGCTTAGCACGCTGCGCTACAGAACTAGGAAGACTAAAAATCCGGGTTCGACTCTCGTCGCCAGCGGTGGCAATCAGTGGTGGCAAGTTTTTATCTATCTCGAACGGCTGGTGCCGCTTGACCCCTTTACCAATCCGCATTGAACCGGCGTGGTGAAGTATGGTCAAAGGACCCCGCACGACCGACGCCGGTATGGGCAGAGCCCTCAACCAATAGTGGATTAACATCTGGAAATTATCTTTTGTTTTATTCCATCTATCTCATGCGTAACGCCCAAAACCAAAGTAAACCTCTACAAATTATTGTGTGTGCGTGTTAATTAGTGTTGCGTCCAGAGTTGTGCATATTGGCCTGGGCCGTATTGCGGTGAAGAGGGGACATTTCCAATTTCAACTGAGAGTCCGTGGGTGAGTCTGCGAATACGCGAGTAAGTTTGCCCGATGTTTTGAATCGCTTAAATTGAAAAAGAAAAGAAACTCCCGCCACCCACACACTTTCCCCCGGACAGAAGTCACAGCCCCAAGGTCGCTTTAATACCCCTTAATGTCTCAATAAAGTAGCATCACAACCTTGATGAGGTCACAATAATTATTATATCGAGCACAGTGGCGAGGAACAATTTGATTCAAATACAATTAATTGGCGAACATCATCATCATAATCATTCAGCTGTTGTTGATACGTCACGCCAAGAGAGTGCTCGCACACACACACACACGGTGTGTCTATAAAGACAAAGATCCCCCATAGATCCCTCCATACGCAGGCTGTTGGGGGAAGGTGCTGTTCATGAGCGCCTACGAAGGCCGGAACGATATATAGATAGATAGATATACTGTACTCTATGCACAAATATCCACCGTATATAGCAAGCGCAGGCTGCTGCGATGCATTCCTGTTAGTGAACACCTATTAAGGCGGGCACGGCGCACGAGAGTGAGCCAGCGCCACTCCCGTCCGCTTTTGTCTCCCTGCAGTGCTAATATTTCCACACCGTACCAGGTACTCATAGAAGAGGCATATATAGACTATATATATATCTCAATGTATGTGTATATATATACACACAACACACTTTACATGTACGCGTCCGTGCGCACGTGACTCGATCGACGGGACTGCCGTGGCACGCGCGCACCACCGCAGCGCTCAATCGCGGCGTGCGCGCGCGCGTGCGTGAATCTGCGGCGGTGCGCGCCAGTCGTCCCCTCCGATCGGTCCGCGTGGATGATTGCGCTTCGCGTGTGCGCGAGCGCAATAATCCTCCGGACGTCACCCTTACCTGCGGGAAAGGGTCAGCTGCCGTGGGGGGTGGGGGGGGGGGTGTCCCGTGACCCATGCTGCTGAATCTCGCAGCCCCCCCCCCGCCCCGGGGCCCCGGCGCACAGCCCGTTAACCAATTACCCGGCGTGAGATGTCCTGCCCGGGCTTTTGTGGCTCGCTCCGCCCCTCCTCTCCTCGTCCCCCCCCCCGTTAAACGAACGCCGCTGCCTCCACGCATAACCCCCCGCGATAAGAGAGGCGGCGAGTCGGTCTGCGCGCACACTTAGCCCGACCGCGGCCCCGGTTTAAAGCGACTCCCGGCTCCACTCCTTTAACCTCTCTTGCCTCTCATCCACCTCTTCCCTGCCCCCCCCCCTCTCCCGTGCGGGAGGGAAGAACCTCGTGAGGACGAGAAGTGGTCAGAGTGGAGAGTTGAAGCGGGCTCGTGGTGGTTGCTGTCATTGCTGCTGCTGCTGTTGTTGTTCTCGGTGGTGGCAGCGGTACAAGCCTCATCGTTATTCGTCGTCGTCCTCGCTATTATTTAGTTTCCTCCTCCCGTGTTTTTGTTGTTGTTTTCTTTTGCTTATTCCATCATCGCGTTGAATCTACGCCACCCGCTTCCACGCCATGTCCATGAGCCCCAAACACACGACCCCCTTCTCGGTCACCGATATCCTGAGCCCCATCGAGGAGAGCTTCAAGAAAGTGGACATGGACATTGCGGCCGCGATGGGCTCCACCATGTGTTCGGCTTACCGCTCCGCTGTGCAGGTCAGCCAGCACCACCACCCTCACCACCACCACCAGCACCACCACCAGCAGCAGCAACAGCAGCATCAGCAACAACAACAACAGCAGCACACGCAGCAGCAGCAACAACAACAGCAGCAGCAGCAGCATCAGCCCAGCGCCCAGCAGCACATGGTCGGTCACGGTGTGTCGGCGGTCACGACGCCCTACGCGAGCATGTCGCATGGGGTTCCGCAGCTGTCGCACGCGGCCGCCGCCGCAGCTGCCGCGGCAGTCGGCGGCTACTGCAACGGGAGCCTCGGGGGCCTGGGGGCATTGGCGACGGATCTGCCCTCGTACCAGGACGGAGTCCATCGCTCGTCCGCCACGGCCGCCGGCTGGTACGGAGCGAGTCAAGACCCGAGGTTTTCTACAAGTAAGACGTCTCTCTCTCGTGACCGGAGCTGTTTTACGCACTTTGAAAAAAAAAAACATATATAATAATCTCGATTGAAAACTCACTTCTTTAGAAACAGTTTTTTTTTGTTTGCGTTGAATGTGTTGTGCTTTCCCCGCACCTCCCGACGAGCACGGTTGGCTACGTACGGTGCGAAAGAAGTTCAACGTACACGCGTAGCTGCGGTGACGACGCCGCGTGAGCCGAGATGAGGAATCGCAGGATGAAATCTCGCGCCAAGCGCGTCCAATAGGCCAGCGGCGATATCGCTGCGGTCAGAAACCGCCGCGCCGGCACGGACAATACCCTGCCGCGTACTACCGCCGCGACTACCAACAGCTCCGCGAATATTACCACGGGCGGCATCATCACCAGTGCCGCCATCATCATCATCATTAAAATCGTCGTCACCATCACGACCAAAAGCAGCATCACGACTATCAGTGACTGCCATCGGTGCAATAAAACAGCTATTGTCACCAATTGCTCGCATCGTCACTGCCACCACCTGCACAACTATTACGACCATCACAATCATCGCTATCAATATTTAACACAACCATTACCACCAACACAATAATCGCTATCAAGATTTAACACAACCATTACCACCAACACAATAATCGCTATCAAGATTTAACACAACCATTAGCACCATCACAATCATCGCTATCAAGATTTAACACAACCATTACCACCATCACAATAATCACTATCAAGATTTAACACAACCATGACCACCATCACAATCATCGCTATCAAGATTTAACACAACCATTACCACCATCACGATCATCGCTATCAATATTTAACACAACCATGACCACCATCACAATCATCGCTATCAAGATTTAACACAACCATTACCACCATCACAATCATCGCTATCAAGATTTAACACAACCATTACCACCATCACAATCATCGCTATCAAGATTGATCACAACTATTACCACCATCACAATCATCGCTATCAAGATTTAACACAGCCATGACCACCATCACAATCATCGCTATCAAGATTTAACACAACCATTACCACCATCACAATAATCACTATCAAGATTTAACACAACCATTACCACCATCACAATCATCACTATTGAGATTTAACAGAACCATTATCGACAACACAATCATCGCTATCAAGATTGATCACAACCATTACCACCATCACAATCATCGCTATCAATATTTAACACAACCATTACCACCAAGACAATCATTGCTATCAATATTTAACACAACCATTACCACCAACACAATCATCGCTATCAAGATTGATCACAACCATTACCACCATCACAATCATCGCTATCAAGATTTAACACAACCATTGCCACCACCACAATCATCGCTATCAAGATTTAACAAAACCATTAGCACCATCACAATCATCGCTATCAAGATTTAACACTACCTTGACCACCATCATAATCATCGCTATTGAGATTTAACACTACCATTATCATATTCTTGGTTCTTTTGGTAAAGTCACGTAGAAGGGAAACAATAAAATAAAATAATTGTTTTATATTATTATTTTATTGTTTCCCTTCTACGTGACTTTACCGAAAGAACCAAGAATATGAATCTCTGCAGTCACGAAAGCTTTAAATCAAAATACAACCATTATCGCCAACATATTCGTCACTAACACAACTATTATGACTACCGACACGAACACAAAGAATTCACCACCGCGACAAAGGTTATACGTGACGTTTGCACGTACATTAGGAAACCAGATGCAGTATATGCAATTAAGGAAAAAGTTATATTTACTAACAGAAGATATTGTAACTATACGTACCAAAATACATATTTTTTTAGCGTGCCCAATGATACTATTGTTGGCTAAATACAAAATATTTTAGTTGGGGATTTATTTATTAAGGTGTTTGCAGTGTTACACTCACCTGTTAATTATGAAACATGCTCCAATGGCCGTTAATTAACGAAATGTATATTTCACCTGGGTAAAATATGTTGATGGACACTTCAGTGCAATCCCGACCCTATCTTCGCTGTGCACAGCACAGCACTGTGCACAGCACAGCGAAGTTAGCACAATGGGCAGAAAGGTGGAATTAATATACAGGTTCTCCCTCGATGTACGCGGTTAGCTGTAGATGTAGCAGTTGTATTAGATGTAGTAGTAGGTGTAGTGGTAGTAGGTGTAGTAGTAGTAGTAGATGTAGTAGTAGGTGTAGTAGTAGATGTAGCAGTTGTATTAGATGTAGTAGTAGGTTTAGTGGTAGTAGGTGTAGTGGTAGTAAATGTAGTAGTCGTAGTAGATGTAGTAGTAGATGTAGTAGTAGATATAGCAGTTGTATTAAATGTAGTAGTAGGTGTAGTGGCAGTAGGTGTAGTGGTAGTAAATGTAGTAGTCGTAGTAGATGTAGTAGTAGATGTAGTAGTAGTAGTAGATGTAGTGGTAGTAGATGTAGTAGATGTAGTAGTAGTAGATGTAGTAGTAGATGTAATAGTAATATATGTAGTAGTAAATGTAGTAGTATTAGATGTAGTAGTAGATGTAGAAGTAGTAGATGCAGTAGTAATAGATGTAGTAGTAGTATCAGATGCAGTAGTAATATATGTAGTAATAGATGTAGTAGTAGTAGATGTAGTAGATGTAGTAGTAGTATATGTAGTAGTAGATGTAGTAGTAGTAGATGTAGTAGTAGATGTAGTAGTAGTAGATGTAGTAGTAGTAGGTGTAATAAGTAGTAGGTGGAGTAGTAGTAGATGCAGTAGTGATAGATGTAGTATTAGTAGGTGTAGTAGTATATGTAGTAGTAGTAGATGTAGTAGTAGATGTAATAGATGTAGTAGTAGATGTAGTAGTAGTAGTAAATGTAGTAGTAGTAGATGTAATATATGTAGTAGTAGATGTAGTAGTAGGTGTAATAAGTAGTAGGTGGAGTAGTAGTAGATGCAGTAGTAATAGATGTAGTAGTAGTAGATGTTGTAGTATTAGATGTAGTAGTAGATGTAGTAGTAGATGTAGTAGTAGTAGTATATGTAGTAGTAGATGTAGTAGTAGATGTAGTAGTAGCAGATGTAGTAGTATATGTAGTAGTAGATGTAGTAGTATATGTAGTAGTAGATGTAGTAGTAATAGATGTAGTAGTATATGTAGTAGTAGATGTAATTGTAGTAGATGCGTTCTAAAAAAAAAGAGTGGCGCACAAAGCGAAACCGCATGAGGAGACAGCAGCCAGCCGAGTAGCGCACACAGCACAGACAGTACAGACAGTACACAGACAGTACAGACAGTACACATACAGTACACACAGTATATACAGTACACACAGTACATACAGTATACACAGTACACACACAGTACACATACAGTACACACAGTATACACATAGTACATACAGTACATACAGTACACACATGGTACATACAGTACACACACAGTACACACAGTACACACAGTACACACATGGTACATACAGTACACACACAGTACACACACAGTACACACATGGTACATACAGTACACACACAGTACACACACAGTACACACATGGTACGTACAGTACACACACAGTACACACACAGTACACATACAGTACACACAGTACACACACAGTATACACATGGTACATACAGTACACACGCAGTACACATACAGTACACACAGTACACACATGGTACATACAGTACACACACAGTACGCACACAGTACACACATGGTACATACAGTACACACAGTACACACACAGTACACACATGGTACATACAGTACACACACAGTACACACACAGTACACACATGGTACATACAGTACACACAGTACACACACAGTACACACATGGTACATACAGTACACACACAGTACACACACAGTACACACATGGTACATACAGTACACACACACACAATGTTGTCCCAGCTCCGACCGCATGGCCGCGTGTAGAGTGAATTCAACCCGCACGTAGCGAATTTTGGGTAGAAATCGCTTAGGACTACAGCGCGAAATCGCACAAAGCGAACCCCGCATAAAGCGAGGGAAAGCTGCGTCGAGGGACTGTTACCGTGGCATTTACTTCGCTTTGTGTTTTCATCTCATTCCTCATTATAAGATTAACAAACAAAATCCGTTTCCTATAGTCGCATGATATGAACGCGTAGCAACAATTGGTCGAGATTTCTACGTACGTAAAAATATACACGTATATACACAAACGCTGCTAACACGCGATTGCATGTGGCGTTAGTATAAGTACCGTAATTAATTGAGGATATTGCTTCTCACGAAATATCTGGTGGGATAATCAATGGTGTAATAATATAAGTATGGTGAACATAATTAAAAAAATTGACTCTAACCAATGTGAGATAATCCTCCACACGCACACATACACCGTACAACATTCATTAAAAGCTGTGCATAGCCACACACGCCAAATATGTCTTGTGCGCGCAAATTATAGACCTGCCTTATATGAGAAAAACACAGATTTGTAACGTCGTTCATTTCTGGTCGGATGAACGTCGTATTTATTCCACAAGCGTGCACTCTCAAAATGTAGCGATGCTGTTACTATCCATTACTTAAATTAAAGTAATGTGAGCCGACTCTAGTCAGATACTTCTGCATGATGCAATGCCGGTGTTGAGTTATCGGGGTTATGTTATATTCGTGGTAGTCGTAGCCATGATGTTTGTGTTCATCGTGTTTGTGAGGGTAGCGTTGTTGTTGTTGGTTGTGCTGGTGATGAAGATGATGATCATCTTAGTGAGTATATATATGGTTGATGGTGATCGTGGTATGAAACGTGTCGGTGAGTTATGATAGTAATTGTGGAATGTGTGTTGGTAGGGGTGATTGGAGTGGTTGGTGGTGGTGGTGATGATGTTGATGATGCAAGTGATGATTTTGATGATGGTACGGGTATGGTGGTGCTAGTCATTGTGGAATGATGGTGATGACGATTGTTCCGGCGGCAGTGTTCGTGTTGATGGTCGTGGTCATGACTCTTCGTGTTGGTAGTAATCGTGGTAGTAATCGGCGGTGGTAGTGATGTTGGCGATGATTGTGTTGGCGATATTGATATGTTGGTGATGATTGTGTTGGCGATATTGACTGTATTGGTGGTCACGATTGGCCCTAACAATGGCAGTGATTGATGACGATGATGATGATCGTGTCCATGATGATTATGTTGGAAGTAATTTCGTGTTGGTAGCAGGTGGTGTTAGTTGCGTTTGTAAATGGTGGTGGCTGTGTTAATGATGATGATGTCGTTGTTGGTAGTTTTGGCATTGAAGAGGTGACGCTCTTCATGGTGATGTTGGTGATGATGGTTGATGGTGGTAGTGACAGTGGTTGCGTTTGTATATTGTGGATGTGATGGTTGTATTGATGATGATGTTGATTGTAAAAGGGACAGTATTGATGGTGACGGCTGTGTTGGTGTTGTTTGTGGTGATGGAAGTGATTGGTGATTATATCGGTGGTGATGGCTGCGATGGTATTTGTGTCATTGTCGCTGTTGTTGTTGGTGGTGGTGGTGTCGTCGTTCTTGCTAGTGGTGGCTGTTTTGTTGTTGATGTTGTTCGTGGCTGTGCTATTGATGTCGGTTTTTGGTGATGGTGGCTGTGTTCTTGATGTTGGTGGTGGCTGTGTTCTTGGCGTCGATGGCTGTATTGTTGTCGATGGCTGTATTATTGTTGATGATAATACTAGTGGCGACATCTGCGCTCGCTGATGACTAACGGCACGGCCATCAATCACCGCGTCGTTGGCAATGACAGCCTCGGCGTGGCTTGACGCGCTGTCGGCGTCTGCACACCGCAACCACCGCTTGCAGTGAGCACTCACCGCGTTCTGCACTAACGCGTGCGTTCTAACACCCTCCCTCCCCCCCAACGCGTGCAGTCACCCGCTTCATGCACGGCTCCTCTTCGGGCATGAACATGGCTGGGATGAGCACCCTGGGAGGACTCACGGACGCGACCAAGCCCAGCCTGGGCGCCCTGCACTCGGCCCCTCGTCGCAAGCGTCGGGTGCTCTTCTCGCAGGCGCAGGTCTACGAGCTGGAGCGCCGCTTCAAGCAGCAGAAGTACCTCTCGGCGCCCGAGCGAGAGCACCTGGCCAGCATGATCCACCTCACCCCGACGCAGGTCAAGATCTGGTTCCAGAACCACCGCTACAAGATGAAGCGGCAGGCCAAGGACAAAGCCGCGCAGCAGCTGCAGCAGGACGCCAGCGGAGTGTCGCAGCAGCAGCAGCAGCAGTCGCCACGGCGAGTTGCGGTGCCGGTGTTGGTGAAGGACGGGAAGCCGTGCCCCGTGAACAGCGGTGGCGGCGGCGGCGGTGGGCACCACCACCATCACCACCATCACCCCGTCGGATGCGCGTCGTCTTCATCGTCCACGGTTAGCACCTCTTCATCATCCTCATCCTCTTCGTCGTCGTTGTCATCATCAACAGCGGCGGCGGCGGCGGCGGCAGCGGCGTTGGCAGCAGCGGTAACGTCATCCGCGGCCTCATCCGCTGTGTCGTCATCCTCCCACCACATCATCTCCACCACCTCCTCCTCCTCTTCGGGCGGGGGGAGCCTTTTGGGCGGCGGCTCGCTACAGATCCACCAAGCGGCTCTGCACCATCAGCATCATCATCAGCAGCAGCATCATCAGCAGCAGCAGCACCACCATCAGCAGCAGCAGCAGCATCACCATCAGTCGCTGCAGGCGAGCCCAGCGGATGCGTCGGAGCTATCGCCGAGCCCCCCGTCCCTGGCGCACACTCCCGTGGGGGTCATGGCGCACATCGTGGGGCAAACGCCAGATTTCAGCGTTGCAATGGCCAGTCCCAACCTCCTCTTTGGTAGCGCGTGGTGACTTCTGTCCGCTTGACGTTCAAGCGCCATCCTCTCGGTGTTTTTGTTGTTGTTGTGTTGCTGCTGCTGTTGTTTGTTTGTTTGTTTCCGGCGAGATGCAAACCGTTCAAACTCTCTCCTCTACCGACTGCTCCTCCTCACCAACACTCACCCACCGCCCGGCTATGTGCTCGTTACAACAATGCTGCTGCTGCTGTCTGATTGCTGTTGTGCACATGCAAGCTCTCACATTTTGGACAATAAACTGGTGGATCAAGACCACCCCCACCACGTGGGGGATATTTAACCATACTTCACCACGCCGGTCAGCGCGGATTGTCGAAAGGCGTTGGAGCATTAACAATGTTGAGAGTTATTTGACCATACTTCACCACGCTGGTGAAGGTTGTTTTTTTTATGGAGCGCGCACACGTCGGAACCATAGATGTGCAGTGCAACAATGGATGTGCTCTGCACTGACCTCGGTTGACTCGGTAGGTGCCCGTCGCAAGCAGTGGCCAGGCTCAAACCTGCTTAGATTGCAAGCTCTGAAGATATCCGGAATATTCCGGTGGGATTTGTCCATTGGCATCATGATGATGGTGGTGGTGGTGGTTGGTGGTGATGATGATGATGATCATAATAATTATTATTGTGACAAATGTTTGTTCTGCTTGTCCACCCGAGCTCTTGTTCTCCCCCGGCATTCAAATGTGTGTTCATGTAATAATAATAATAATAGTGTTTGTTAAGCGGTGACAGATGCATCGTCATCGGTGCCATGATATGCATGTTAAGTCATAGGCCTAAAACCGGAAAGTGGATCACTCGTGCTGCTGAACCTCCGTCAGGCGACGCGGGCGCATTGTCTCGATGCCCCCCGTGCTCAATTTGCTCGGAGCGGTTCTCTCAGCCTGGGGGTGCGCGCACCCCCTGGGGATGCGGGATGACCTTTCTGGGGGTGCGAGACGTGGCCAGATTTTATTTTTTTATTTTTATTTTTAGAAGGTAAACAATCGAAAAGACGAATTAAGCACGGGGCACGTATGTACACCTTACTTTGTTTCATCAAACCCAATGTATTAACATTAGTACTTTTTATTTTAATTTTTTTTCGATTGAGAACCAAAGCGGGGTGGGGGGGGAGGTGTCAGGGCTGCAGTGAAGGTGAAGAACCACCGAGTGTGGAGGAACGCTCGCGCCTAACCAATTTGGCCGTTCGGTAGTCGGCCGCGTGCTCGATTGAGAAGTTAACGCGACCCCGCGTACTCGCGATTACAAAACGCGCGTCCTGCAGTCGGGCATTTTGCAACGTTCACCGCATTCATGGCTTGTTTTATTGTTATTATGATTGTTGTTGTTGTTGTTGGTTGTGTTTATTTATTATGTGTGTGTGCGTCACCGGTGTGGGCTGCGAGAACAGAACGCTATGCGACAGCTGTGACATGCCGACGCTCTGTATGTGTGTGTGTGTATATATATTAACACTATTTAATTGTGCCGTGGTAAAAGTGCAAATTGGCCTAATTCATTTCCCACAATAGACTTGTGAAATATGATCAATTACATACATTTGGGTGAGTCGGCTAGTGTACTACTTACTACTCGACGTCCTGTAGCACGCTTTCAAACAAATGTATCGATATAAATACACATTACTTGTGCATGTGTGCGCGTGTGTGTACATAGCGCTTGAACACACGTGTCCAATTATGAGAATTCAACTGAGACCCGCGCGATAAAATTGGACGGTGGCGTGCCACGTGGATGGGATTGACACAGACGAAGCTTTAATCGGCACGTGAGCGATACGCGAGCGATACGCGTAGTCGCGCGCGCAATCGAGTTTCGGTGGAGCGGTGGCGCAGTGGTCAGCGCGCTGCGCTACGACCCCGGCCACTGAAATTCGATACCCGCCCGCGGCCGCCAACATCGGTGACGATGATCGTGGGCCTCCCGCAGAGGTCGACTCGGCCTCAAATGTGGTACCTGGTGCGGTGTGTAAACATCGTCGCCACTGCGGAGACGAAGGCGGGCGGGCGTGCCGTGGTTTTGGTCTCACCCACGCATTCGCGTGCGCCGCGCCGCCCTTCATTAGGGCGCTACTCGCAAACGGCACTTGCCATGGACAGGGGGCATCTTTTGCTTTCTACAGTTTCGAAGTGAGGCTAATGGTGGGTCCAAGTGGTCTCCCCGCATGTACGTGTGTGTGTGTGTGCATGCTCGCGTGGTCTACGAGATGACCGGTCGACCCGATGAGACGATAAAACAATGACCCGCCTGCGATATAATGAATAGGGGTGGACCACACTGTGACCCCCCCCCTCCCCTAGTGAGGTGTCACGGGCCGTGTTAATTCATCGTTCTTCGTGGGGGGGCGGGAGGGCATGTGGTATGTTGTGCCTCGTCGGCTTGCGTCGTGTGCCAGACGATCAACAATTGCTATCAAGGAGGTCAAAGTTGGACTTAGACGTCTGTCTCATGAGCACGCGCTTGGAAGGCTTAAAGCAGCACGCCGGTGATAAATTAAATAGTTGTATATTTATGAAAGGGCGTTTGCTTTTTACCAAGAGAGAAACAAAAAAGAATAAGTTATTGTAATATATTTACCATAAAAATTGTAAATGTTTACCTGATTTGTTTTCGGTTCTGTTTCTCGAATTCTAACGCGCAAGACAATGTTATGATTATATAAGTTTTGAGCTGTCTCATAATATAAGCTGTCATATTTTACTGACATCTTGCACGAAGGTTAACTATATTGCATGTTATGTTCTTTAAAAAACAAACAATAAACAAACACAGCTGTCGAACGACAACTTACAGAGAGGGTGTATCCTATGTCTCTCTACGCAGTGTGGACATTGCAAGATTGTACGATGCATTTTGTGTCTTTTAGTACAACCGCCCTATTAATGAAAACAACACTCCAAAAGACAAAGATCCCCCATATAGCCTTAACAGACTGTTGGGGCAAGTGCTGTTAGCGAGCACCTATGAAAGCCGGCACGGCACACGAGGGGGTGGGTGGCCAACACCACGCCCGGCCGCCTTTATCTCCCCAGTGGCGATGTTTATACACCGCACCAGATACTAATTTGAGGCTGAGTCAACCTAGGGGAGGCTCAGGACCATTTCAGATAATCGTCACTCGTGTTGGCCGTGAGCGGAAATAGAACCCAGGTCGCCAGGTTCATAGCGCAGCGCGCTAACCGCTACACTACCGCTCCCCACAAACAACACTCGACACACACACCCACACACCTGGATAGTGTCCACGCATTTTACTAACCACGATAAAACCATTTAAAGCAATAAAAAACACAAAACTCGGCTTGCAACCACATCATGTGGTATTATGATTGCAGAGTAATTATCTCATCTCATTCCATCAACCGCACCAATACATGAAGAAGCGTTGGTATACATTGGTTCCATTTAGACAACTGGAGCTTTCCAGGCACTGAGCTCCGGAAAATATTACGAGGTTGAGAGGGGGGATGGGCGACACATACATAACACATACATAACATTCGTCATGTGCTAACGTACCAATGTTTAACTTGCGTGCCAACCGACGTTATGTTTGTCAACACTGTTTAATATACGCTTACATTTACGTACTGCATATATATACAAACTACTGACGTCAGTTATATAAGAGGGGTGAATAGGAATAAATTATTGACGACATCGTATTGGTCGTTTGATCAGACCTATGCGCACATCCTTTACACTGGTGGACTACATCGGCGATATATTCACCTCTAACGTTAGTTGGGGGCTAGATTATGTCTAGTTAAATGATTGTAATATGAAGATGACGATGCAAGAAAAAGTCACTGTCGTTGTGTGAAGGCGTCCAGAGTGCCGCGGTGGCGAGGAGATGTCATCTCCCTCGCCTGGTTCGCAGGAAGTCCGTGGGTTCGATCCCGGACCACTGACGATGCATCCTGGAAAAGACCAATCGGTGAATTGAAATTGCCGGCGTGACGATCCTTTCTTTTGCTAAGACGCTGAGAGATGTCCGTTCGACTCAGTAGAAAGTGTGTGCAGAACTATACCTATACGTAGCGTAAGTGTACTGTTTGCGCATGTGTATAACCCTAAGCGTCGACATCACTTCAATTGTTACAGCCGCATTGTCAGGATTACGAGACGCTCTTTTGCCCACTCCTCCCTCCTCCCATGTGTTTAAAAGCAAACGCTTAGATGGTGCGTCTTATAATCCGGAAGGTGCGTGTGACCAGATTTGTATCAATTATTTGTATCGATTCTTGAGCGATGCTGGCGATGGCAGCGGCAAAAACAAACGCGCCGCGTTCGTCGACATCGAAGTGGCCTGAAAAAGGCGAAAAACAAAATATCATAGGCGACGTTTCGGGCAATGTCCCTTGCCAATCAGGACACCTTTAACGGCGGCGCCGTATCCAAAGCGCCGAGTGAACATCGCGGCGGAGAGCCATGCCAGGAGCGTGCATCCCTCCACCCCCATTCTCCACATCGCCCCCCCCTCCACCCCCAACTCGTGTTTACAAACACCACCAAAGTCCATCATCCCCCGCCGCCCGCGAGACTATCGCGCACCTTGTTGCTGTGGTAGTGGCGGTCGGCACGGCTGCAAATCGGTGGGTCGCGTGCTGCGAGCGACTTGAGCGACTGAATTCCTTCGAGAATCTCTCCCCACACGAAGTGAGATTCTCTCTCCCCTCCCCTCCTCACCGGCTCCGCACCAGAAGAAGCTGAGAGTGCGATCGTCGTTGTCGTCGTCTGTCTCGGTGCTGAAGGAAAAAAAAAAACCTCCGATTAACAACAACAACAACAACAACAACGACAACAACAACAACAACGATGGTGATACCTCCCTGGCTGGGCGAGCGGTTAACTCAAGCCTCGATCAGGCGGTGCCCCCTCCTCGTCTTGGGTACAGAGAGGACGGTGACACGCTGGAGGTGCCCATGAGGCTGTTGCACGCGCGTCCGTTCGGTTTCGTGGGTTCGAGGTGGTGCCACGCCAAAATAAAATAAAGAGTATCGGAACTTCTTAAAGTCAGCAACTATCCCCCACCCTCCTCCTCCCTTGCTTCACCCCCCACTCATCCCTTCCTTTCTTCCCTCCAACGTCTCTGCGTCTTGTAAACCTCGTCTTGGGAGAGAGGGACGCTGGCTTGTGCAAACAGCTCTCTGTTCAAACAACGGCGACCCCCTAAGCCCCGGCGCCAGCGGGGTCTGTAGCTAAGAGAGACGCCGTGAGTGGTGTCGAGACCCCGGGCACCGCGGTGCGGTTTCACGCCGCGTGTGTTGCACCCAGCAGCATCAGCAGACACTCACAACACCCAAAACTTCGTCGATGCGTAGCCCCGCTTTTCCCATGTTTTATTTTCCCTTTTTGGGAGGGGGTGGGGGGGGGGGGTTAGGGTTGTTCTCTTCAGGGGTGCATCAAAGGGAACCGGGAAGGCTCTCACGGGTTGTTTATCGGACCCGCTGAATCTCCAGCGCGCTTGTTGAGAGAGGCCTGAACTCCGCTGATGAGGCACCGCACGTCGAATCACGGATCGAGAGTTTGCGATGTATGAAACCGATGCCGATGAAAAGAGGCGCTCCACCAGAAGAGGCGTGGTGGCCGATGGGATGTGTAGGTATTTGTATTTATTTACGTGTACGTAGAGAGACACACTTGGCTAGGAGGCGGCAAGGAGAGAGGTGAGGTTTTGTAGAGTGATGCGCGTCTTTGATTAAGAGATGAATGGAGTTCGTGGTAGACGGAATCTATATTTTTTTTTGTCCGGCTCTCCGTGTGTTGTCCGGTCCGTAGCCCGGGTGCTGTTCGCCACGATGTCCGACGCATCGCCGTACGTTCTCAGTGCTCCTTGGGAATCTGAATTCCGCATTCGGTTCCGAGAAGACATCGGGGAGAGCTCCGTGGTACGGGCGCAACGACCGGCCCGCGCAGTGAGATGTTTCTGTTCAGTTGCGAACATCGGCCACGTTTGTTGAAAGAAATGTGTACAGACATATATACACACATCTTAACGTTCTTGCTGTGGTACATCTGAGAATTGTTTTATTTGACTCGTGGCCGATAGAGTATTGTGTACTAAGGCCTCCACGCGCCGTATCGGTCACGGGGAGTTTTGGTTGACCATACTTGACCACTCTGATGGGGGCGACCCCGAACGCTGGCCGATACCTACTTGCAGAATCGTGAGTAGGAGTGAAATCAAGGAGGCGTCGCTCCTCGTTGCCCGCGTGGGCCCACGCACGATGCAACCGCGGCCATCGATCACGCGCGCGCGTGCCCGCCGAGTGTGTGCGCGTGTCCACCGGTGCGAGCGGTGGCGCAGCAGTTAGCGCGCCGCCGCTACGAACCCCCACGACCCCGGATTCGATTACCGCTCGCGGCCCACCAACCCCGGCGACAATCATCATCCAAATCGGCCTACGAGGTTCCGCTCGGTAGACCCGGCCTCAGATGAGCACCTGGCGCGGTGTGCAACCATCGCCAGGAGGGAGACGATGGGCGACCGGGCCTTGTTATTTATTGCCACGAATCAACCTCGTGTGCCGTGCCGGCCTTCGTAGGTGCTCGCAAACAACATTTGTTCCAACAGTCTGATGAAGGCATCACGGATCGGTACCTGGTGCGGTGGTGTGGAAACATCAGTACCGGTGAGACGAAGGCGGCCGGGCGTGGTGCTTGTCACACCACGACCACCACTCCTTAGCTATTCCAGCCATCAACTGGTGCTCACTAACGGCACTTGCCCCAAAGTGCGTTAAGGCTATGCGGCGAATCTTTATCCTTCGTTACAGTCGCCTCTTCCCCTTAAACGATCTGCAACATGTGCATTGCCTTATGTAGTTCCATTCACCAAATAAAAGGCTTTTCTTGCAGAACACACGATATAAAGAACTGATAATGTATCAATGCCATATCACACGACCATTGAGAGATGCCGACTCCTTGATGATGGCTCATGATGACGACGCCGATACTACTCCATCCACCCAGCGGTGAAACGAAGCATTCACGCAAGCACACGATGCTCCGTTTTGAAGTTTTAAAATGAAACATCTTTGAATTGCATTATGTTTTGAATCAGATAATTGTATTTCTTCATGAAAAGCTTATATCATTTGTATTTCTTCATGAAAAGCTTATATCATTTTACATCTGGAAGACTTTATTGAAAACGACATTTCGCGTGCTAAGTAGATGGCCTTGCTGGGGGTTCGATGATGGCGCATGATGACAACGCCGATACTTAATAGTACTGGATAAACACCACAATACTTAATCAATACCCCGGAGTCTTACAGCAGCACACGTGATTCCTTTGGAGCTCGCCATCAGATGTTCTACGGAGACAGCGAGACATCACGTCGACTGGGTACAGCTGTTCGCGGTTGTGCTGCACACACTCTGGGTATCACTGAAATCCACATTGCGTCATCCACATCATTGGACTGGATGAGGAACCTGTCGCATTCATTTATGACGATCATTAAGAAAAAAAATACAAAAACGATGCTTTTCACAATGCCATACGAAAGAAGAAGAAGAAGACTCCCGATGTGTTTCCTGGTCGTAACATGTTGATGTCCGACGCTTCGATCCACGGGCATCTTCGGGAACTGAGAGTTTTTTTGGGAATTGAATGAATTTCCGGCAGCACGCGCAACGAAACGTCAGACACCAGTGCGTATACTGTAACGCGCGATACAAACCAGAAAACGAATCGGAGAAGTTCTCCGGGCACCGTCGTGTCTCGAT